TGAGGCTCATGTTGCAGCATGTTTTCTTCTATTAGGGTGAAGTATTTAATTTGTAAAGTGGTGGAGAGTATGCGTTGCGTTGCGAAGACAAAGCACGTCCCTGCTCTGTGGTGTTTAGTGGAAACGGGTCACAGCACTCCCCCATCCCCCTTTACCTTATCCTATCTTGTTATTAAATTGTACATGAACTAATCATGATCTTTTAGAAAACATCCATTGTAACTAGCTCAGTAATTTGAACACATGACTAATGAACTGTGGTTACTATTTGCTTTGTCTGTTTATAGTGAAGTATTTCTGTGGTTTTCAGCCTCAGTCACATGGTGTTATTTCTCTTTTCTGAGTCTTATCTCTGTCTGGATAATCAAACATTCTTCAAACAGGCAACAAATAGAAAATAATGAAAACTTATTTTAAGTATAAGGTTTTGTTGTTAGTTCAGTGATCTCTTTTCCTGCTCAAATTTCTTTATGTTTTTTCAAATTTATCTATCTGGATGAAGAACTAAAGAGATGAACATAAAAATCACAACAAATGGCATTTCAAGACAGTTAAGCTCTTCAATGTAAAAATATTCACACAATTGTAACAATTCATGTAGCAATAATAATGATGTAACATGTAAGTCAGATACTGGAGATGAACCCTCTTGAGTGAGGGCTTTCCTGATTTTATTAATTCCTATCATAATTTTACCTTCTAAATGATTGACTTTTTTTTTCCTCAATAAAGTACAGTATGCAATTCATAATGGACTAAGAAGTGCTGAGTACTCAGTTTCCTTTAATGGATTAATGAATTCCACGGTAAATACATTTGACTACCGGGGATCCTAACGTGCCATAATGGCAGTCCCGGTTATCGTTATTGTGGCCAGTCTGCTCCTTCTTGGAAGAAAAGTTTTGGTTTGTTTGGTTTGGGGTTTTTTTGGTTTGGTTTTTTGTTTGTTTGGGTTTTTTTTTGCCACCACATGCTGAGCTTTCCTCTTTTGCTCCTTTGGTAATATTACTTCAGTGAAGAATTAGCTTCAGTTAATTCTGCAAGCTCATTACTCTTTTATGACTGTGCACATGTTAGTACTGCTGCATTAGCTCATGTGAGGCATTAGGGCTTCTGGGAACACTTCCTTGGGAACAGCATTAAGCTGTGCTGCCCTGTGAATTAATTTGCGATGTACTGAATAAGAATATGTCTCCTTTCTGGGCATCCATGTGGAAATTTTTTAATCTAAAAACTCATTAAATAAAAGCAGTGAGTAATGAACTTATAGTATGAGAGTGACCTACCTCTACTGTCAGCATTACTAATACTCTCATTTTGGCAATACGTGACAGGTAAGAGGTTTAATACATAGTGGAAGGCATTTTGTCTGTGGTTGGAAACATTGAAAATTCCCCTGTTCATGCACATGGATCAGTATAGTCATACAACAAGGATCTTAGTAGCCAATAAGGGATCCTTCTTTGCTGACTGGAAACTGTGGAGAGGGACTACAAGCACAATGTAGTAGGAATATGAAACCATGCTTGACTGGGATAACCATCACTACTGGCTTGCCTAGTAGCATGTAGGGAGTTCTTTCAAGTGGCATTTCTGTTCAAATGCTCTGGAAGCATAGGAGAGGAGTGTGTAACGTGAGATTTAAACTATAGAAACTCTCTTGATTTCTGTGAAAAAAGGAATAGGTAGAAGGGAAGAGGAAGTTCACAGAAGCAGCAAAAGGTAACTAGGAGGACGTACGTGGCCTCAAAGCAGTGAGCCGGTTTCCAGCCCAGGTTAAACCAAGACCCTCACTGTCAATGTTTTCCTACATACAGTGCTTGGTAATGAAGCTGGGTACAGTAATCTTACTTTTACAGAGTGCTGTAAGAGACTCCAGGTTCCTGCAAATGAACGATGAACTGTCATTCCTCATCAGAACACTTGCCAACCTGTTCACAGAGCAGAAGTTCTGCAGATTTTATGGGCTGTTTTGAACAGGTAATAAGAATAGATATGAGTACAAAGCAATTGTTAGATGTGAAGTCAGGGACCAAAGAAGCAGAAGAGCTCCAAAAATCTCTGGAAGTAAATTGAATCATTTATGAGGTTAGATAAGGTGGTCACAGGAGTGGTGGAATAAATAATGTACATAACTTTGACTTCAAGGATTTACATATTGACATTAAGATCATGTGATTAGAGGATTCTCTAATTTGGGCCTGGAGGCCAGGTACTTGTAAGGATGCCCAGACAACTGTGGAAGGCCATGTCTTGAGCTTTAACCCTGTATTCTAAGAGGGCCAGGGACCAGCTCCAGGAACTAACAGTATGAGCAGGCTAGACAATTCTGTGTGTTCTTGGTAAGGCATTTTTTCTGGTGCAGGTAAAGCCATTCCTGTAAGCAAATATGACTTCCCTATTGCATGGTACACCAACTCAGAGATTCTGCTGCAGTGACTGCTGATGCTCATCATACTAGAGATCTTAATAGATTGTAGTGTTAGAATATTCCATCAGTTATTTCATGGCTTTCCAAGCAATTTAATATTTGGGCAAAATATGGCTAGTATGGCGTAATATCCACAGATGAAGAAAACACTGAAAACATGCCAGTGAGAAAACTCCAGAAATATTCTACTTACTGATAATTTTGAAATATAATATTTAAATTCAATAAGATAATATTGTGTTTCAATGTACTGTATCTTTCTGCCCTTGAACAGCAGGAAGACATCCATTGTAAGTCAGAAGTTACTGTGTGACATCCGGATATTATGGCTATGAACACTACTTAACACAGCTGAATTTCAGTGTGGTCCCTTTCTTGTGAGATCAAGTGAAATGGTATTTATTACTTTTGAGAATTACTGGAATAGAAAGAATCACTGTACAATTAAAAACAACTTCTATCTGTTTGCAATGAGCCCTTTGGCTGAATGTTATACGGGACCAAACAGAGGAACTTTGTTGGAGAGTTTGTTTGCGTATTTAAGGCTCATAAAGTGTGGGCAGCTTTGGTAGCAGCAATGTGGCAAACTAAAACAATACCTTAGATACTGAGCAGTGCCTTTATGGTTCGGAAGCGCTCTTGAGGTTTGACAGAAAGGCTGTTGGGGCAGAATGTGTAGACGTCCCTTGTTATCCCCAGACAGTATGCTGGTGACAAAGAAGTAGAAATTAATGGGGTGTGGTCAAAGTTCTCAGATTTTTTTAAAGAATTGTTTTACATAAAAAAAGTTAAAATATGAAGAATAAGGTATTTAGCTCTAGTGATAAAGAAAGCATTCTTTATTTGTACCAAAGCCAGTTTTTACCTTGCTTTAACCAAGAGAAAGACAGAGACAAAGAAAACCAAATACAATAAAAAATGAAATCTTTATTTTTTGGCTCATTTGTAATATTGTTTACATTGTTTATGATAATAACAATTTCCTGCATGCATTTCACCAACACATTACAAGTCAAAAGCATTTGTAAAAGAAATATTCTACATTTAATGTTAGCTTGTGTATGAAACACAAAATGTCCTGATGTCCTTGATTATACAAATGTGCCATTTTGTTCTTGGGAAATATTGTGGATCCTATTTGTACAAGTCTAGTGCAGCATGATTCAAAAAGAATAAGAATAGGCTATGTAAACAGACACTGCAAGATAGCAAGGATTTCATGAACAATGAGACTATCTTGAACTTCTGATGCAAACAGTGCTAGAAATTCTCACATTCCCCTAATACTTTCCTTGCTATGTCCTGTTACCAGATATAACTATTTGGAAACAAGCTGGGTTCCAGATTTACACAATTTACTTCACATTGAAATATATGCAAATATAATATTAAAACAAGATAGTCTACAAATACTCACTTTTTTTCTCATAGTGTGATGATGCCAGTTTGAAATTACCATGGTTAGAAAGTAAGCCAAGTGAATGAGGAAAGAAATATAAGAAACAGTGATCTAAACTTGAAGACACTTTTCTTATATACAAAACTGTTGCCAAATGGTATTTCTTTACATTATTTATATATGCTAACCACATTTCCAACAGGTTAAACAGTTTGCAATATGGCCTGTACAGTCTGATTCTACACCATATAGTAGCCACTTCAAATTTAAAATGCAAAACTAAAGAAGCTCATAAATAGCTGCAAACTATTGCTTAATGATTTGAAAGAATGAGGTCTGGTTGGACAATTTGATTCACTTCACTACTGACACATGGCTTCCTATAGTGGAGACTGGGGACAGTGGAAGGAGCAAGGTACAGCAGCAAAAGCATTGACATGCATCAGTGATACTCTCCAAACTGTCTATAATGACACAGAATACAGCACGTCCTGTTGAGCTCTTGCAAATTACCCATACTGTGGTACATATCTGATGCAATTCAATGTGGCAAAGCCATTTAATTCTATGCTTAAATATGCACGACAGTATACCGTTAATATTTACGTGGAAAAGGGTATTTTATTGATTCATTGGATGTTGGACATAATGAGAGAAGACGGTAATTAAAGAACAGTCTAGGAAAAAAATTGAGCTGTTTAAAAAAAAAGAAAACAAAAGAGTTCCCAGGTATATTTTGGTGAAGCTATTTTGCCAGTGCAGAAACACCACAATATTTTTTAAGCTGTGAATATTTTAACAAAAACAAGAACTTGTTCATGTTTAATGATTTGCATAAAAATAAGTCATTGCAGATTCCTGTAAATTAGCGGAGACTTTCCAGGCACATTAATCTGGATGCACATAATCTGGATGCAGTCATACAAGTAGTCAGAACGCCTCAAATTTAAGAGCAACCCTGAAACATTGCGTTCTTAAAATCTTTAGCTTTGCGCAATGTCATATTTTTATTTACGTATGATTGACAAGTGCAGCATGCCTATGCAGATCACTTCTATCTGTACATTATAGAGATTCTGAGAGTAGAACACCTGGTCCTCATACCTCTTTCCCCAACATAAAACCTATTACAAAAATAGTCACATATAATAGTAAACAACTTGTGAATTAAAAAATGATAAATACACTAATACTGATTTTGTAAAAATATGACAAATGTAGCAGTTGCATTACAAACAGTGAAGAGAATTACTGTTCTACGTGTTTTGCAGTACGTGAAACAAAAAAGTATCGCTTTGCACTCATTTCATGCTCCATGTTCTCTGTGGAGCCACTTTTTCCCCTCATCCTTAGCAGTGTCAGCTGTAGTGAAAACAGTAACCTCTTGTCAAGTTTGTTACCCCGATTCACAGGGTCAGTTTGATGATAAAGGTTCACTGTTTTGTTATAGGCACTGACCTTAAGTATATATATAACGTATATATACGCACACACACGCGCGCGCGCACACACACACACACATGTATATGTGTAAAAACTGTCAGTTTGGCATAAACCTCCTGCAGGAGTCCAGTTGATGCTTCATTCTCAAAGACTGTAAACAAGTTGTCCCACAAGCAGAAGTCTTAGATCTTTATTTTTTATTTTCCCTGACATCTTTACCTTTGTAGTTCTTTTCTGCTTTATCTTTTACATATTTTTCTTTGTCTGGCTTTGTTACACTGTCATAAGAAGGTGGGGAAGTTGTAGAGGAACTCTCATCCGTTTTTTCTGGAGTGGAGTTCCCATTTAGTTTATCAATAATTATCTCCTTTATAACTGGTCCATCTCCTTCTTTGTTTTTATTTCTGTTATATATGCTAGACACTTTTTTAACTTTTTGCCTTAAAAGGTAATGCCTGTAAGCACGCTGAATAATGACAGCAGATACTTCCTCCTGTTTTCGCTTTAATGTGGTTGTAATTGGTTCATAGGAGACCTTTGAAGGATTGGCTGCCATAAACCGATCTTCCATCTGTATTCTGAGGGCATCCATCTCCCCGCTTTCCCCCAAAACACGCTTTGTGAAAGCAAACAAGATGTCAAGGCAGTGAATTCTGTCACCGCTTACCATGGGCAGATCCATTGCAATAAGCTGGACTTTGTTTGGTTTTGCTATAAGAAGAGGAGGATCTAACGAAGCTGCAAAATCTGATAGCTTACTGTATTCTATGAATTGTGTTGCATCAGGATCAAACTTCTCCCAGACTTCATAGAACATCTCAAAGTCATCCTCACTCAAGGGTTCAGCGCTTTCTTCAGTAGCAACACTGAAGTTCTCCAAAATCACAGCAATGTACATGTTCACCACTACCAGAAATGATATGATAATGTAGCTGACAAAGAAGAAAATCCCAACGGAAGGGTTGCCGCAGTCACCTTTCACAGAGCTCCCCGGATGATCTTTATGGGGGTCACAGTCTGGCTCCCCACTGTTAAGAATTGGGGCTAGCAAACCATCCCAGCCAGCAGATGTGGTAATTTGAAACAGGCAGATCATGCTGTTGCCAAACGTTTCAAAGTTGAACATGTCATCTATACCAGCTTCCCGCTTAACGTAGGCAAAGTTGGACATGCCAAATATCGCATAGATAAACATGACCAGGAAGAGCAGCAGGCCAATGTTGAACAAAGCAGGAAGAGACATCATCAACGCAAAAAGCAGAGTGCGGATTCCCTTAGCGCCTTTAATGAGACGCAGGATTCGACCGATTCTGGCAAGTCGGATGACTCTGAATAGTGTGGGGGATACAAAATATTTCTCAATCATCTCAGCTAAGAACATACCTAGAGAGAAAAAGTGTATATTTAAAATATAATTTTAAATTTATTCATTCATTACCTATAGAAAGATTTATTTATTGCTGTCTCCAAAATAATCTATATAGGGAGTCTATGTTACAGCAAAACATCATACAAGTTATTACGTTTTATTGAAAGGTGTTAAGGTGAAAGCACCTTCCTCACGTTGAAATGCTACCTAGGAGAAGGGAAATAAGTAAAAGAAAGAAGACTGCTTATGGCAAGGTAGCTAGTGTCTGTCTAAGCTATCAGTTATTCTTAAACATCCTGGAAAGAGAAATCTCTGTCTTAAATATAATTAGTTCTAGAAGCTGAGCCTATTACCACTGTCTTTTATGAAGGACTGTATTGGCTTAATTTGTGCAAATTAGTGATTTTTTTTACCTGAGGATCTACACTGTATCAGCACAGCCTCTCTGAGGTGTATCACTCTTTAAGACTTAAGTTTTGTCACACAACTAATTTGCACCTCGGACAGTCATTAACTTTTAGTTGACAGAAATCTAAATATTCACCAAGACCTTAGTTAGCAAAAGCAATTAAAAATCTCACCCCCTTCACATACTTTTCAGTTTTAGTACTGAAAGTAAATTTGTCGTTAGTTCGCATATACCACTAAACATTCCTTTTTATATTTGTACATGTTAATCTAATGTGCCAAATAGTTCCTTTATGTCTTTTGAGGTGGATGATAACAGTGAATGTAAAGGGAGAGATAAAAATCTTACGTGCAACGTTTCATACATTGTATGCTATAAAGTATGAAGATCTGAATCAACATGTAAGTCTCATAGGAAACAGAAAATTTCATATTCAGTATCATAACATTCTTGAAACAAATGTTCCCTTTTCCTTCCACTAGTTCTTTCTTGAAAGGGAATTGCTCTTACCTACTATGGAGAGAATCACAACCACAAAATCAAAAATATTCCAGCCTATAGTAAAGTAGTAATGGCGAAGTGAAATCAATTTCAGGACGCATTCTCCAGTGAAAAGGATAATGAACACAAGATTAATCCGGGATAAAATTGTTTCCATTTCTTTACTCTGGTCATCTGTTTCTACCATCATTGTGACCATATTAAGGCAGATAAGTATCATGATGCTGATGTCAAATACTTGTTTAGTTACAAAATCAAAGACCATGCCTTGGAATTTGTTCTGCAAAAACAAAGACGGAATACAGTTTATACTCTGAAAATTTTTGTCTTTACAAATGCCAAATGGGAAAGCAAGTCCCTACAAGATTTAGGAGTGCAGAGCAAGACCCATTCACAATACATCTGTTAATATACACCAAACCCATGCTGGTTTGTGTCTCATCCTGTTAGAGTGGATCAAGAAGTGTACCACTGTTGGCTGAAGGGACGGGAAGGGAAACAATGCAATAATAATAGTAATAACATTGACAATTGATATTATTGGTGTAAAAAGGCTGGTATAACTCGATACCCAGCAAGAGTACCACCCAAATAGAAACTCATTTTCTTGTCTTTATTCTTAGCTGGTTTTAGAACACTAACCCTCAGAGATGTCTCTCTCTTCCTTAAACTAATTGTACTTGGTGAGATCGTTGGACCACTGAAAGTGCATGTCTCAAACACACCATGACTGCATGACTGCAATATCCTAGTTTTCCTTTAGTACTTAGCTAAATGTTTATTGCCATGTGTCTCTCCTTAGAAAGACTGTTTTTAACCACTTGGTGCATAAGGTGCAACAAGTATTTTATTTTTTCCAACCACTGTAGGAGTTCAGTAAATAACAGAGTAGTTTCTTATCTTAGAGACAAATTTATCCTAGTTTATGCTTTACTCCCTAGGGCATTCTTTTATTCTGTAAGATTATCTGTGTCTGTCTCTTTCACATTAGGTGACCACTGCCCCCTTCTGTCTTCAGCAGCAAGGGCCAGTGCATCCCCATTTCCTACAAATTCTCTGGGAGGAGAAAAAACAGCAAATGAAGTTTATCTGTGGGTAACAAGAACCTATAAATGATCCAATCAACTATACTTTTCTAGGATTTAGGCAGGGAATTATGAAATTCATCACATTAACCTTATTCAATCCTACAGTTCATACTTCAGAGTGTATGTTTCTAAATGAAACATGAACGATCTAGTCCACTGAACTAAAAAAAGGGGGACAAATTCTATCTTTACAAGAAAATAAATGGAAAAAATATTTTCTTTCCAGACATATAACCTTTTCTCCTTGGCTAAAATCATATTTCCAAATGAGTATTTAATATTAGAGGTATTAAAGTCAAATCACTCTTACCACTGGCCTCGGTATAGGTTTCTGTGGCTTTTTGGATCCCAGTTTTTTCATTGCATTGTAATATTTCTTCTGTTCTTCTGTCATAAATATATCCTGACCTCCAAAGTAAAGAAATAATATCAAAGCTGATTACTATCATGTCCACACAGAAAACAATAACTACAGCATATCTCTCTGTAATATAATATTACAGTTATATTTGATTTATATAACAAAAGTGATTTTTTCAGGTATTTATAGTGTGGATGCTCATATGCATTCCTAACATACAAAAATCCCCCTTACTTGTGCCTTGTCAGGCTGACAGTTGAGTTTTTCCAGTGTCTTCATGCTCACTTTTGCTGATATGGCTAAAATGGTTCTTACTGTACTGATGCTATTAAATAACTTGCTGATTAGGATATGTTTAGTGCATAGGAGCCCAACTGGTGCCTTTCATGTCCTAAATTCTAGATAGACTTTTAGGATTACAGCTAGCTAGGTCTAAAAGTGGGGTAACTTTGAGGGACAGGTTGTGTCAAGGGAGAGTATTTGGGTCTAATCTGAGGGTTTTAATGACAGCAAAAAAGATCATCTTTGATATAAACTTAAGAAAAGTAATCCAAATCATGCCATAGCAAATTCTTAATTAAAACACCTTGACTAACTCAAATTAGCCTTTGTTTGCAGATGCAAATGCTGCCAGTCAGATGTGCAACTGACTGACTGAATTTCAGTATAAAATAAATAGTGCTTATTGATGAGTCTGAACTAAGTCAGATGGAAAGCCAATGTCAAAGTCACTGTCTGCTAAACTGGATATCAAAGCCCAAGGCATGCCATAATTGATAGAAACTGAGGAAGTAGCCCCAGATGCGTTTACGGCTCTTTTAAGAAGCTAAAGAGTATTTTCACAAGGAAAAATTTCTGTCGTTCACAATTGATGTTTACCATAGATTCTGTTTGGAACTGCTGCTTTTTATTTGGTGATCGGATAAAACCAGATCATATGAAACTGCTTTTTCACAGCATACAAAGATTTAGAATGATCCTGAGGTTCTAGTTCTTTTTGCAGTTGAAGGCTAAGAATTGTGAGGCTTCAAAATATTTTAAATGTGATTATTTGTACTTTTAAAGTTATTTTAAGTAAAACTATATGCATTATCAATATAATTATTTTAAAAATACTTCTATGTCAAATGTATACAGAAAAAAATATCCTTCCTTTTATACCATTGCTTTCTTACTGCTAATAAATTATAGATTGTATTTGTGTCTAACAAGTTCATCTCATTTCTCATAAAAGTGTTAGAAAAACAGAGCTCTTTTGTACACATTTTTACTTTTGTCTTTAAGCCTAATTGTGTGAGGTTTATTGGACTCACTCTTAACCCACTGTTTAACCAGTCTGCAGAACTATTATCTGTTGTATGAACACAGTGCGATATTGTATCTTCATTAAGTGTCAACAGTTTATAAGATTAATTAAAATTAATTTATCATAATTCTTTAAAGTTAATTAAAAAAGAAACTCTCCTATGGCAGATACTATTACATCTAATCAAAAGAATAATGCACATTCCCTTTTGCGTCTCTTACACAATTTGCCAATTATTATGAACCGACTCATGATGTGTCCCTCTTCACTTGTCAAAATGATGAAATACAAAGGTCATATCTCATTCACAGATTTAACACAGATTATGTTAAAAAAAGAGACATTTTTATTCAAGGACTTGTAACAACTTTTGATTTTTATTAGCTTTACCTAAATAAGTTATTAATTTATTATAGCTAATAATTTATAGCACTATGGAAACATTTTAAATACTTATCTTCTTTTTTTGTTGGTTGAAGTTGTCTATAATGACACCAATGAAAAGGTTCAAGGTAAAGAATGATCCAAATATGATAAAGATGACAAAATAAAGGTACATATACAAGTTGTCCTCATACTTAGGTTGATCTTCTACCTACAAAATATTATAAATTTTATTACCCATGAGAATACTAGATGTAAAAACCAATGTATATAATTTATGATAGGTATATGCTATCTCAGCTAGAAAAGCTATAAACTGCACTCAGTTATTAACAATACCCAACATGTCCATTCCAATCAATATTTGGAGAACTGGAAGCTGACAGAATGATTACTCATATGGAATTTTAAAGTAAATGTGCACACAGATATGTTTATGTATGTACATATACACAAAGTTGCTCGTACAGAAGGAAGAAGCAATGTGGGACTGAGAGCAGTCATTAGTACTTAAAATTTTAACAGCACAAATCTAAATATTTTATATTGTGTTCAGTATATTTTCATGCAACAGAATCAATCAATTTTAGTATCACCTACATCTCCCTGGAACTCTTTCGGTCTTACATGAATGTTCTTACATCCAGCTAAGAACAGATGCTTTCAATAAATTTCTAGTGAGTACATGTTTTGTGAAATCCATTAAATTGAGGCAAATTTCTAAGGAGAATTTTGTTAATGTCTCAATTCTTCCGGATTCCACATCTCAATGTCTGCACCTCTGGTGCACAATGTGCTAGAGTGTAGAAATGCTGAAGTTAATGAAACAGGATATATAGTACTCTGAGAGACAAATATCACTGTGTGATGACAGGTGTCACTAATGTGACTATAACCTAGGTTGTATAGAACTAGTTCACGCATCTGTGTTGCACTTTCTTGTGCAAGTTAAACATAGTTTTAGTTTTGTAGCCCAGATAAAATTCTAATCCCTAGAAAATTTAACAAATGATCTTCAACCTTAAAATCTAATTGCACTTAAATAGCTAGATAACGTAAGTGCCTAACCTAAAGAAACAATGAAATGCACAGTTACAAATTATAAAACAAGATTAATATATTCAACATGTAATAATTACATTATATAATCTTATATTAATTCATTCTCGTGATTACCAAAAGAAGTGGTTAAAAAACCTCTTTGTTTTTTTCATTAACGTTAACTTTTCCAAAAAAAGTCCAGTTAAGTTAATTTATTTGGCTAAACAGAAGGAAGTGGGATTAATTCTTTCCACTACAAATTCTAAGATTCATGAAGTTACATAAAAGTTCTGTTCTAGGCTAAATGTATCTAGAAAAAATATGTATTGGTGCTGATTATAATTCTTAATGTTATTGTATGTGTAGCTGTTTAAATTCTATACACTATATCAGAAAATAACCAGTGAATGATCTTTGAAAGTCTTAGACTTACATCTCGTGAATCAACAGCAGCATACATAATATCCATCCATCCTTTGAAAGTAGCCTAGAAATAAAATACAGTTGTTTATCTTCCCTATAAAAATTCACAATGTGGAAAATAACTAGGTCACAGCATTTTGACCTTAACTTTTAATAAAATCGTACTTAAATTAATAAACCACATCTAATAACACAGGCATAATAAAATATTTTTCATAATACTAGGGTTTTTGTGAAATTATTTTTAGGTGTTCCAAAAATATTAAAAATCGGGCTCTGAAGGTCTCAGCAAGGGCACAGTGTTTGGAGCTGCAGATGCTCACTTTGCAGATCAAGAATGGTAGACGCAGATAGACATTAGTGCTGGACATGTTCAGGTAGAATCTACTAGAATCACTCATGGTGACAGCCATTTTATCAAGTTTACAGCATGAATTGATGGAGTCAGTAATACAGCTTCTGGACAGATACCGACATGCTTCTGAATGTTTTTGCTATGGCTAAACTGCCATGGTATTTTTAGAAACGTTTTAATCCCACATAACTAAAAGGAACAGACTCTGTTCGTAATCAAAATATACATTGGTTCTTGAGGGATAAGATTTAAAGACCAAGAAGTGAACTCTGAAAGAGCTGTGATTAGCTTTTATAAAACTTTGGGCTGAGTTCCTCTAGAGACTTTGTCTAGGTAGACTAAAGAGTAAAAAAGATCTGCCATCATTGCTCTAGGGAGGTGATTTTCATGGACATGGAATGTCCGCTTTCTGAGGAACACCAAAGGGTTGGTGTGACATGATAGTTGAAGGTGTGAACGCCTGCTCGCTAGCTAGATTTTTCAAGCTTACTCACAATAACGAAAAAAAAGAGCTAAAAAGCCTGTGAAATGAACAGATAAAGAGCATCTCTCCTGAGGAGATTCAGGAGAACAACCATCCCAAGGAGTATATTTGCATCTGTGCTTGCCAGAAGTGAGCTCTGGTACTTTGGTACAGCTGCTAGTTTTCACAGCAGAAAACCTGCACTCCAGGAGTGTTCATATCCTCTTGAATCTTGCAGTGCAATACAAATCTACTAAGAAGGTATGCTTGGAGCCAGGCTTCATAGATCTTTCTGGCTCAGTTGACAATTGACAGCTATTATTTGGTGCACTTTGCATAGCACCATTAGAAGAGGAGCAGAGTGTGATAGGAGCAATAAATACGGAAGAGTGGAGAGAGAATGTTAATGGAGACAATCAGCTTAAGAGGTGACATGATACGTGCTCAAGGATCCCTTAATCTCTGCAGGAGAAGTAAAGGGTGGAAGAGAATATTTGAAAAGGAACATAATGAAAAATCAGAACAAAAAGAAATAAGAGAAGAAGAACGAAAGGTCCACAGTAGTGATGTAGTAGTAATTAAAGACCAATACTGTCTGGATGGGTGACACGGATGGCATTCAGGCACAGCTTCAAGAGACTAGAAATTTTCCTTACACATCTTCAGAGGCAAGTATTGGTAATAAGATGGTTGGTTCACTTTAATCTCTCGTACAAGGATAGCAATGAGATCGAAAGTCAGACAATTAGAATCATCATTCAATACTACTGCTCAGCACATGAGAGTCACATTGCCTTTAGAGGCAAAACATTTTAAGCCAGGTAGTTAATTTGAGCATCAAGGTCAGCTAGGGATACTGCTCCAGAATAAAAGGGACAAGCATATCATTCTTAGATAACTTGGTGATACCAGAGCAGTAACAATCCCGTGACATTTCTGACATCTTTTCATAGAGTGAAGCTGTATGCCAAGTTATAGACAAGTGGTTCTATAGAGCTCAATCATCTATGCATAATTGCTTGCTTTCTTGCTTGTGTTTTGGGTCAGATATCAGCTATCAGAAGCTCCATTCTAAGCCAAGGAGCCTGTAAAGAGCTAAGGTCTTTATTTCTCTGGCATAAGTAAAAGGTAAGCTCAGTACCTAGAACAAAGAGGTTTCTGTATCACAGTGCATAGGAAAAAGACTTCAAGAGGAAATACAATTTACAGACTTTGTATAAGTAGCAGTAATTAATAGAATGAATATGCTATGCAACACAATAACATCTAATACTTCACAAGTATAATACTATAAGCAACATAGTATTTATTTAGTATATTATAATGACTCTTTAACAAGCATTAATGGAATATGATAGTTATAAATCATGAGTATTTTTTGTGATAAAATATTTTACATTTTCCTATTTTACCCACAGTTTAATGTCTTTGTAGTTTCATGTGCTTCTTAATGAAATATATTAATTTTAATAGCAAGTGCTGTTTATCTGCAAACATCAAGAGAAAGTGTTATATGATTAATCAGACCTAATACTCAATTAGGATCAGTAACTATGCGTATTCTTCCTGTGGGCAGCTCCTACTTCTCTCGGAGGATTTCAGAACTCTTACACAAGTATTATCATAATAAAGAATTGGCTACATGAAACATTGGGTGCCCCAATCTCAGATCTTGCATTATTTATGATTCCTTCCCTAAAGCCACTTCCAGGTCTGGAAAATGAAGCCCTTATTAAACAAATATCTGCACTGGAGACAGCAGGTTGATATATTTTTATTTTTACCATCTACCTTACAAACTGATTCCTTAAATGAGTATAGACATGAAGAAAAATCCACTCTACCTTGACCAGGCTGTTGACAAAAGAAAAATTATTTCAGAGTGCCAAAAGTGCCTAGATTAATTGTTTTTGACTGTGAAAGATGTTGCAGTGGATGTGTAATGATACCTAGGAACAGATTATGTGGGAGGCATTGGCGGTAGTTGCTCACTTCAGACCAGACAGTCAGTTAGTATGTCTGCCCTCTTGTAAGCTGCTGTCTGCCCTCCTGTCTTAGAAGATAACTGAGCTCATAAAGGAGAGGAGAGACCTTTTTAATAATTAGAGGAACCTCTGAGCCTTGTCCACCATGGCTGAAGTTTATGTTGTGCACCACTAAAAAGATTATTGTACCTTTTTCACTTGTTATTTTCACATTATTATCATCATGATGAGACTGCATTCCTTAGCCTTGGAATGGAAAGTTACTCTACTATCATTAATACAAAAATTACAGGTAACAATGCAATAGAGTTGTGTAAGCTGTACATCATTGCTATGAAGAAATTATTCCTCTACTTAACAGTCTTAACTTGCCCATTTTTCCTAGACTTCTTTAAAAAACGCAAAAACAAAACATATAAATTTACTTACTACTTGAAGCAGAGCAAGATATCCAGCTCCTACATTATCAAAGTTTACTTTCACATTTTTCCATCGGGCACTTTGATTGTTTTTTATGAGTTCCTCACACTGAGTGTAATTGTTGACATCACTGACATCAAACATCTCACCAGTTGTGGTGTTGACACAGTGATAGAATTTGCCAGCAAACAGATTTACTCCCATGATGCTGAAGATGAGCCAGAATATCAGACAAACCAGCAATACATTCATGATAGATGGAATTGCTCCTACAAGGGCATTTACAACCACCTAGTGTACAAATTAGACAAAATAGCCACTTAGTTTATGAACAGAAAAATAAAAATACTTTAAAAATGTTAAAACAGTATTAATATGGAATGGACAGTTAAAATATTACATTAAAAATCTAAGAGGGAAACATTATTTAAGGTTCAATAAAATCACTAATGAGATTGCAAAAAGCAAAAAATAAAATTATATGGAAACCAAGACGATGCAAAAGTATGAAAAAAACTCCAAAAGCAAAAGAAAACCTGTTAGTAGCAAGATGGATTCTTAGAATTTGTGTGCTCTAGAGAAAAAGAGAGAAATAAATGTTAAATTCCAACAATACAAATCAAAATCTATAAATAGAAAATAAATCCAGAAAAGATCAAAGAATGATGATGTGGAAGACTGAATAAAAATGTCTGCATGTAAAATTATCATTACTAATGACTTTTTTCTCAGAAACTTTATGTATATATTGGCACCAGTGTACTTTAGCATCTACATACAACGTAACATATTTAAGTACATCTTATTTAGTTTTTATTAACAGCATCTGCTGTTAAGCCTTGGTTTTAAATTGCCTGGCTCACTATAGTTGCTCTTACACTTATCCATTAGGGTTTTCTTTAATTGGCTGCATTTAATACAATTGAGCTATTCTATATGGGCAAGTGGCAGTAAAAGATCAGATGAAATCCCTTGACAGAAATTTTCTTTTACTTACTTATTGTGATTGAACTAAAAGAAAACTGCAGATATTCAGACAATAATTTTCTACCAAATCAGTAGAGACTGCGGTAGGTTTCTGGGTATGGGTTTGAAAATAGTAATATTTTTCAATGCACTATTTTGACTGAAAGTAGTCTAAGATCAATAGAGATTTTGCCCATTTATTAGATAGGGACTTATGTGTTGTTTGCAATGCAAGTCATGTAAAACATAGTGGTGATGGCAATATGCCACAGGACACCCCCCCTACACTGGCTAGTGACACTGGCTAGTGTGGCCACCTGTAGAATATCAGCAGCCTCAAGGCAGACAGGAACCACACTACTTAGTTGGAAACTTAAGACCTATGACCAAACAATAAACACGTATTGCAGCATCTGGGTATTTTGAGGTGACAGATTAAAAGGAGATTTCTCAATAACATTACTATGTTAATTTTTTATGCATCATTTTTTCCAGGAAATAGCATAGCCTGCATTTTCAGCAGACAGCTTGTAATAGGTTGGTTGGGGTATTTTTGTCAGATTGGCAGAATAGGAAAATAATAATTTCCTAAACAGGAAGGATTTAGCTGTATAGGAGGAGAGGTAGATGCATTCGTATGAAGTAAAGGACACTAGCTGAGAAAATTATTTCCCATCTCTCCCCTTCTGTACTTCCTACCCCATCCTTATTTCAGGTATCTGTTCAGAGAACCTTTCCCTAATACTACAGCATTTATCGTGAGATTTTTTTCTCCAGGCAGGAGACAGGGAGCCACAGGGAGGCTTTAGTTTCTGGTGTGCACTGTTGTCAGCTTCTTCACCTTGTTTTGTTTTGTTTTGTTTTGTTTTGTTTTGTTTTGTTTTGTTTTGTTTTGTTTTGTTTTCTGGCTAATGCTGTTCCATCTTGAACCACTGACAAACTAACAGAGAATAGAAGTTAGCTACAGAAATTTATAAAATAAAGTCCCAGCTAAATTGGAGAAAAAACCACAACCATCCGTTCTAAAATTTCTCACATCCTTTAACTTTTCTATATAGGTCCATAAATCAACAGAAATTTTAACAGTTGGGGGGCTGGGATAACACAACTATGCAGCAGTGAGCAGGCAAGTTTAATGAGGTCGAGGTCTAATCTCCAAATGTAAGATGTACACAAATCTTGTGTATAAGGACATGTTGGAAGGCCTTTTTTCCACACATTTTTGCGTGCATTCCCATTCTGGAGTTCCTTGCAGAAGGCATGAGTGTCACACTTCTACAGTATTTTTTGTACGCATACATCATTCAGACTCATTCATTTTATCTCACCCTCATTCCTTCAAATCGTGACAAGGCTCTTAAAGGTCTTAAAGCTCTTAATGTCCGAAGTGATTTAATGGCACCAAGTTCAGAATAGCCCAAAGCATTGGCTATTAAACTAACCAATGAGACCTATAAAAATACAGAAAAAATATTATTATAAAAATTGTTCTATACTGTTTATTTAAAAAGAATACAGATTCAATCAACAGAAGGATCAATGGTGACAAGTGGAAGAACAGCATTCTTGCTTATAGTGACACTGGAGGCCCAATCCCACAATTTTCATACTTGCTGGAAAGGCAAGAGGTCATATGAAGGCATGTCTGAAAAAGGAATATATGCTATTAAATGTCCATTATAGCTGGATAGGGTTTAACAGCAGATGGAAGCGCACTGTCAAAGGGTATAATTTTCAGAAATATTTAAAGACAAAATAGCCATACTTTCAGTAACTTCATTAAGGTTCAACCTTCCAAGCAATATAAAATTCTGAATACATTAGGGTAGTTTATTAACTACTGACAATATTATTAATATGTATAATCACTAATAAAATGCTAAATAATGTAGTGGTTAATTAGGTTTTGTTATAAATATTACTTCTAAGTCAAACACTTAGATCATAGCAACAACAGCCAGGGTATCTATGAGATAAATATTGACAGAGGTGGGACTTCCTCACTTGCCTGACAACACTCTCAATAATTTTTTTTCTCTTCTAAGTATAGGAAAATATTATGGGATAGATATTAACAGATGCTAGCATTATAACAGTAAGTGCTTTATTATCTACAACTGTAGTGAGCTCCTGATTCACATTACCGGGATTTTATTACAAGCCAGTCCACTTCAGGAAGGAGCAATTAATTTGCTTCTCCAATGGAGCTGAGTTTTAAACAGTGTTAATGTGAAAGAACTTAATTTACTTACTTTGAGCAGTTTTGGAGACAGGAGTGGGGAAATATCATACGTTACTCATATTTTATTCAGTTCTACCACCAAAAGCATAGAAGACACATAAATGAACACAGACATATTTCAGTCCTTGAAAAAATCCCTCAAATGTTCATTTCTGTACCTCAGTCTCAAGAGTTCTTCAAATAATTGGCTGTACAGAAATAGGCATTCACCGATAATGGTGGTAAGATTTTGCCCATTGTATGAAAAGCTGGTTTCCTATGTTACTTGTATCCATAAAGAACAATTAGATGACTCGCAAACACAAGAATGACAAGATCATGTCTCAAAAGGACAGTCTGAGAGCAGATAGAAATCAATTATTCATTATTATGTTGCTATGTATATTAATCTAACAGAAAAGAGTATTTTGGTGAATTCCTATCGCTGTACTTTTCAACTGGATTACATGTCAGGATGTAATTCTTTTTATCAAAGGAAAGGCTTATTTTGTTGCTGTAATGGATACGTTTGTAAAGGAACTCACTGTGATTTAGAAGCATATTAAGAAGGTCCTCTGTAACTGAAGTCTGTTCACTTACAAGAGAGAACATTATTGTTTCTCCCATTAATTATTCTCATTGATTGTTATTAATAATTGTCATCAATACAATTTATTTGTCCTGTGATTCTACAGTAAGAATGTTCTTTTTTATCCTTAGCCACTCTTAATATATTACAGAGATAACAAGAAGTGGAATTCTCTGGTTTTTTGATAGAATATTCATTGATTCACTCACATCAAGAAGATACCCAGACATGACAATAAACTTTAGTGTAAAGATAGCACATTTTACAGATTAAAAATAAACTGTGATATATATATTAAAAAAATATGTCTCTCACTGGGAGAGCAAGACATCTCTTTTAAAGTTGAACTCACATTAATGGCTCCTTCATTTTATACTTTTCTCCCCAAACTAGCACTGTGCCTTAGCTGTCTTTTGCAAACAAGACTCCATACAAGCTAGTTGTGTAGCTGTAGCTCCTGTAACTTCAGTGGCACTGTGTATATTGGCAGTTTTTAGGTTCTGATTGTAAGCCATTCTCCAGCCTAGCTTGTGCTTTCCATTTCAATCTATTTGCAGCTTTCTTACCATGGTGCTAGTGCTCTTACATCATAAACCTGAAGTTGTTTCACAGAGAAATACTTCATCTATTATAAACAACACTTTTTCCTCTGAAGGACAGTTCAAGTGAGAGGCTTGGCATTCTCTGATATTAATTCTATTGTATATACCGCATACATATAGACAGCTGTTCTGTACTGCTCTGGTTTTCTCAGTCTTCTTAGTTTGGTCTTCTGTCATCTGTTCCTCCTGTTTTGTTGCTAGTAGGTGAGAAAATAAACTTCTCTGTACACTGATAAATAGATAAATTACTTTCTTTTGAGACAGGAATGCATGCAGATGCAGTAATTTTAAGAAATTAAAATGAACTCAAAATGCTGGAAAGAATTTTGACATTCATCTTCTAAAACTGGAGGGTTGTGTGTCCACATTTTTGTGTACAGATCTTCTAATGTAGACTATCTGTTGCAAAAAATGTTTTGAAACTTAGCAGTCACAGTTAGCCCTGCTCAAGGTCTTCAGTCAGGGTTGTCATCTGAGCCAGATCATTGCTCATACAGCTCCACATTGAGTTTCTTTCTATTTAGGCCTAAAATGTTAATCCATATGAATTCTGTGTTTCTTGCTGGGGTGGCTAATTTACGTGGTTTGATTCCAGGTCCTCCGTGGCATATGGCCCTCCTCACTTCCAACACTGCTTATCTGATCTTTCATGTAGTTTAAGTGTTCAGATATTACACTTAATTAGGAATAAAAATAAACTGCAAGATTTGGAAAAAAAAAAATTCAAAGATTTTTCCTTCTAATGAGAAGTTAACAATTTTTTTTTATTTTTGAAAAACAGATACTATAGTATCAGTTTTCCGGGCAGGCATTTTTGACACTCTCAGAGACAGGACACTGGACCAGTGCGGCCTTTCTTATGCCTTACATAGCCTTTCTTATGTTATGGTCCTATGGTAAGATAATATCAATTTTTCTCTATGTACTTGGTGAATGACTCTTAATTTGTGGTATTTTACTGTCAAATATTCAAAATTCATTTTGTTTAGACGCATAATTGCTAGCGATGATTCTGTTCCCTAACTCACTGAACAAGAGCCTTAGGTTTCATGCATATATCATCTGAATACCCCTTTGAATTAATCAATTAATTTCATTAATTTCTAGATTATCCAATGTTATCATAGCATACTATATTAGGATACACATAAAGACTTATGTGACTGCCTAGGAAGAAAAAGTGACATCTCTTTTTGTATCTCATTTCCCAGCACATCAATATTCTCATCTTCTTATTTCTTCTTATTTTTATTATGAAGTTGTCAGGGCAGCAGTTGCCTCTCACTCTGTGCATACAGCATTTAGTATATTACTATAATGTGACCCTGATCTTTTCCAGAATATTGCTGCTGAGTTAATTGTTCTGAAAAGCTAATAAAAAGGCTGAGAGCACAGTTTAATTAAATTACTTTAAGTGTTTTAACAAATAAGCATGAAACATTTTTAGCTATATGAAGAAATATTACATAAGCCATCAATATGCATATAAGCCATTTAATGTACTATACAACAAGCCCAATTGGAGGGTTGTTTTGCTACATTTAATTGTTCAAAAACTGTACCCATTGGAATTTTATCAGTCATGGGCAACTTCAGGAAGGTCAAAGATTTCATTCCACTTACAGATTCATTATTGCCCCACAGCATTTGGCAAATACATGATTTGTTTTAAATGTTACATATTTCCACTTCATTCAAGTACAACTTATTAACACAATCATTTAGAAATAAAATGCCTATGCCAAATAATAGGACTACCTTATAAAGTTTAAAAATATACAGCATAAAACAGTATCCATTTAAGATTATCTAAGATTACATATCATAGCAGAAAACTATACAAACAAATTTAATAAGTGACAAACTCATTGGGTATTCCCAGATTCCCTGTCTCCTTCCCTGATGTCCTGTCTCCTAGCCTTGTAGGTGGCAAAGAGAACTTAGAGTCACTACAGCTGTACATCAAAACCTAGACATAATAAACTCATGACAGATAGCTTCTGGAAAAAGAGGTAAGAGCAAAACCCAAGGTACAGGATGACATGCTCTATAGCATCTAGTTGTACTGGATTAAGATATGACTGTCTCAAGGCTTCACTGGATACTTCTGCCAGAATTAGTCTCCCCCAAAAAAGCAAATATGTCCCTGCTTCTCAGCTGCCTGCATCCAAAATTCAGTCTCTTAGCTTAAACCACTGATAAATGTGTGTGTTTGAACTAATTTACCAGATTGTGATTTTGGATAGATAAGGCACTCCACCCAAGTATCTGCTCCTTGCTGCAGATATTGTTGCATCCAGCAGAAGAGTGGGGCGTAGAGATGGCATGATAAGGTCTTAAACTGAGGTAGCCAGATATACCAAGAGTCATCTGTCGTGACAGAGGTGAAAATTGCCATTTCTTTGTGTAATTTTTGAAATCTAATTTCGTCATTATCACTGAAGTAACTATGGCTATTTCTCACAGTGAGAGACTCAGGTACGTTAAGATACTAAAGGTCAAAGCCCTAACAGACTATCAGTGTTTACTCTTGAATAATTTTAGAGGATGGAATTAAACAATTTTATTAACTTTAGTCACTTCAATGAAGAAGGTCTCACTGGTATTCTCACTGGGATAATGCCACTGAATCACACCTGTTTAAACTGCCTGTTAAAGCAGTGTCGATTCTCTCCTTTTCTATAGGAAGATAACATAAGTTATATATCTTTCAAGTGCTGTCTGGTGGTGCTAAAGGAATTGCTTATGCACAGTAAGACATTTTTTACAACTTTCTGGAACATTGAATATAAATCTTCAAAAGTAGAAGGTTCCAATTTCATTTAGTCATGCTTTTGCTTATAAAATTAAAAATTATGGGTAAAAATTTGCAAAATAAGCTGCTTTATTTATGATTGTGTTCTTTGTAATTCTGAGAGCCTGCTCAGATAACAGCATCTCTGAGTCAACTATTATTAAGAAACCATGCAGTATGGCTTAGAATAATCTGTTTAGGTTTATGTTACAAAAAGAATAATTAAAACATGAGTTGTAGTTTATCTAAAAAAAAATCCATTCTTAACATAATCCTGGAAGGGGGCATCTGTCTTCTGCACTAACATCCTCTTAAGAAAACCATTCACACTGCTCCATTCTAGTGTAGATTTTCAGGACAGAGCTAGAGATTAACAGTATAACAAAACTAACTTGGGCAGGTTAAAAAAAAGAGAAGGTCTTCCATTTTGAGTTATGGGCCAATCTAGCAAGGTTTTTTTTTTTTCCTCTGGGAGTCACAAATCCGATACATTTCTATTATATATTCATAAGAAATAAGTATTTATGGGACCAGGATTTATGTAAACTTCTCAAGAAATACAGTAGCTTGGGCACAAATTACTATAAATGCGCATTTGCCCTGAGATGCCATCTCTCAGTTCCACACGGAGGACATGTATAGCCAGTGAACTGGGTCAGATAATGTGTGAAGGCAAGAGACCAAAATATTCTGGGAGTAAAACCAGCTTTGATCCCTTCTGACAATATAAGCAAGGCCTTTGCTCAGAAGTATATCACGCTGGGAACACAGCCAAGAAACCTTGTATTCTCTTCTATCATAAACGCTGCCAAGTCATAGCTAATTTAACTATTGCAGATTGTCAACCTATTAAAACTAATTAATTTTTAGACTAAATAGCCACTGTCTTTCTGTTTTACTGAAAATGATAATAGGATAGTTTTGGGGGATGAAGTTCTGAGAACTCAGATGAAATCTGGACCAAATGTATTGTTTCACTTCCAAAGCTGCAATGTTTGTAGAAGAAACTTGCACTATGTAGTGTATTATTTGCTAAGGAATAGGGTGGTGTGGTCAGAGTCCATTAAAAATAGCATGTTTCAAAATTAATTGTTTTCCTCATAAAATCTCAAGTTTGATACATCCTGGCAACAAAATTATTAACCATGAAGAATGAACAAACTGATGGCCAGCCATCCTTTTCCTTCTGGCACATAAATGCACTTTAAGTAACACATCCAGATCACTGCAGGCTATCACTAATGCAGTATAGCTATACAATGTGAATTATTTTTGCCTGTTTATAAGAAGATTACTTAGTAGTAATGAGTTTTACAACATAATGGACTTTACTGTAGTGAATTTTACAATATTAAAGACTGTGTACTTACATCAACAATCAGGAAGTCCAGCCAGCACCAAGCATTAGTAAAATATATTTGAAAACCATATGCTACCCATTTTAAAAGCATTTCCAAAATGAAAATATATGTAAAAACTTTGTCAGCATATTCCAGCATAGTCTTGATCGTTTTGCGCTGTTCAATATATATATCTTCAAAAGCCTATGAAAAAAATATATCCAGGTATTACTAATGTTTCACAGAACATACATGATAAAAATAAGTAATAAATAATAAAAAATAAGTAGGTCAGAGCTAATCTTTCCCCTTGTTCTTCTGCATCCTCTTATTTTACATATTTCCCATCTTTAACCGTACTACAGACTGGAGCAACTTGTTTGTATTCTGCCCTGTCTGGAGTTGAATATATATATATATATATATATATATATGTCCTATTTTCCTAATGAATGAAGAAATAAACTCAAAGCATGAATTTTCGTCTGCTGTGGTATTAAGAAACTTTCACATACACACACAAAGAAACCCCTTTCTTATACAAAATCTGTTCCAGAGATGTATATTCCATTCTAGAAAGCAGTTAGGGAGATTACATTTCTATGCTCTATCAATCAAACTTATGTCTAAAACTAAAAATAAAGAGCAATGTATTTGCTAGAATGTACAGTATGCACATTGATACTGTAGCAAATGTTCAAGTTGAGTAAAGCTGGAAAAGTGGGTAATGTAATCTTGTTGGAAAATGGTTGTTAGGTGTAATTTGCCGTCACACTCTTCCCTATCTCCTGCCTCCAAAAAAGGAACAGAATGAAGTAATTATTGCATTTTTTATATGGTCTTTCGTAAGCAGAATCCAAGAAGTGGCTGAGCCTAGAGGGAATTAAGGACTTAAAATCATACATTTAGCTATATACTCACAGTTAACAACGGTCCTCTGTACTCAAATCTCTTGATGAACATGCTGGAAATTGGCAGGCAATTTAAATCTTGGGTAGCTATGCTGGCTTAAATAAAATTGTGCCAGCTTTACAGTGGTAAACCAAAAGTATTACTAAAAAAGAGCATGTGAAATTTAACAAACTTTTTCAAATTTGGGCCAAGTTTCATTCTATCCTGAAATGATGGAATGCAGGTAGTTTTATACAGCTCCAAGCAAAACAAGCTTTCTGAAGCAAATTTGAATTTTGCTGTTGCTTCTAAGGAGATTTCTAAATATTTCACCGTCTGCAATTTTTTTGTACTTACTAGTGCTCCACTGCTGAGGAGAATCATGAAGACAATGAAAGTCTCAAACCAGTTGTGCTCAACTATGCTGTAGCAGGTTTTTCTAAGATTCCACCAAATTTTTCCTTTGCCATCCTCTATACTTACTTGACAACATGGAAATTTCTGCACACACCCTGCATTAGATTAAGAGATATTAGGATCCAAACGCAAATTATTTCAAAGTCAATATTTACCATGGTATCAACATGTTAGAAGCTTTAACAAATTTTATAATAATTTTTTAAATTAAACAAAGGAATCCTCTTTTATAGGATGCTAAATATCTGAATTTAGATAAGTAATTTGGAGAGAAACCAGACAATAGTAGACATAATCACGAGTAAACTCAATCCAAAAAACTTTGATGTTTTTGACTGTTGGCATGTAACTGCTCCATTTGTTGACGGAGCCTCACAAAAATTACTTTGTTCCAAATTTCAAGGGCTCTTTCAAATAACTGAAAAGCATTTTAAGAATAGAAAAGTTAATGCAGCTTCTTGGTTACAAGATGTATGCAGTGGCCAGGCAGATAAAGTTACTCAAAGCCTAGGGAAACCTTTTTTGGCATCTGATTTCCAGCATTCTAGGCTGGGAGTATTTTCTTTCGATTGTTGAGGTCATGAAGGTCCACCAGATTTGAAAGTCTCAAGAACTTAAATATGCCTAGTAATAATGCCATTTTACTAATACATCTCTTAAGTCAACAGTTATTCTACAACCTTCTGTAAAACAGGCTTCTGGTTCAAGAGCTTCTTCACTTTCAATTTCTGCTTGCTCGCCCTCTCCAGGAGGAGCAATATCAACTGTGCTGCCTTCTGATGAACTGGTTGCATTTAGTTTCTGCAAGTAAAGTTCCACAGAACAATTTTTTCTCATTAGATACATATTCTGTAAAAGATGATACTGAATCAAATCATGCCAGTCTCTGACTTTTGAAGAACACTAAATTTATACTGATAAATATGCATCACCATAAGTAAAAACATAGTAATGACATGTACATTGTATTGTTCTGTTTCCCAGTTTATCTTCTTACAGGGAACAATTAAATATAATTTGGCTACTAACCTGATCCACGTATAAGACTTCTGAAGTATTCTCAGTAGTATTAAAACTGGAGAGCTTGCATGTACCGCACTCTCAAGTTATTTCATTTTCTTTACTATACTGGATTACACTGAAAATGTGTCTTAGTTTTCCCAGCGAAATGAACTAACAGAAAGGTCCACACATATCTTCATGTCCACTACAGATGGTGTTTTCACAAACATACACCATATCTGGATTAAAAAGTTGTAAATTTAATGGCATGTAATGGCAAATTTCTGCACAATTTAATTTTTGCAGAAAGCACAAGTTACCAGATCCGAAATATCTTCTTTGCATTCCAGTCTCCTGTGCATATTGAGAGACCTCCTGAGATCCTTTCTATCCCAAATATTTCTATCATTCTACTACTTTTGTGTACAGAGAAGTACTCTAGTCCTTCCTACGGTAAAAGCACTTCTAGGTCTGAAAACTGCAAGAACTGGAGAGTGATATAAAGCAACTGAAATTAAGTAACTTTTTACAAAGTACATTGAAATTTGGATCAGGTCAAGCTGTTTATCAGTCATGCAAGACTGCCCATAATTTTGTCCTTTTAAGAAAGCATATTTTGAAAGGACAAACCTGCTAAAGATGCACACAACTAATGCAATAACTGGACATAGAGTTTGTAACTTGTTTTCAGCTGTCAATACTCTTTGCATCTTTAATTGCTTTCATCCGAAAGACATTGTCTTTTACTGTGAAATAAGGCTTGTAATCAGAAAGCAACATTAAAAAAACCATGGCAGTGAAATACTTCTTGTTTATACCATGTAGCAGTAATACATAGGAGTTTCGAGGGAGATCTAGAATGCACCTCTAACTTAAATACTTTAAATTGTACAGGCACCAATTACTTTTCACATTTAGTTTTCAAGACAGTGACATTTTTATAATATTAAAAAAAATACTGTTCAGATGATTTGAATGATTTTGCAATAAATAATAATAACTTTTTAAGGAGGCATTTCCATGTATTCGCTTCTTCAGAGACGCTGCTGCAAATTAATACTAGTTATTTAACTCTTCAGTTAAAACCCAGTCCCTTCAGGAAAATGCATTGGGAGCTAAGGGCTTTTTTCTGCCAGAAATTAAGTAAATGGCACATATGTCTTTATATAATTTGGTAAGCAATTCTTTCCTCATATTCAACTCTTGCATGAGATGAATGAAGTTTAAAAAAAAATCAGGTTGGGTGATGAATAATTTCAGGGTTAAGTTTCAAGAAGCTGCCCTTCACACACACATGCAAATGTGGTCAATATAGGGTCACTCAGACCTCAGGTTTCATGGCTGTTACTGCACTGTGGCCAAAAATAAAGGACTTGTCACATAATAGAAAACAGTTCTGACAAGCATACAGGTATGAGTTCAAAAACATTCTTTCTCTTTTTAAATATCATGATCTGTCATACATGGAAAATCATGCTGGCAAATGTGAAAGGATTTGGATAAATACATTGAGATTTGGATGTTTCCAATGGTTAATTTTTGCTTAGTAAACATGTTAAAATATCATATTTCCTTTTTCATACTGCACTTCCTCTATGATTCCCAAAATTTATATATGTAAAATAGTTACAGCCCTATTGCCTCTAAATGGAATATTTTTATTAGTGATCATGTAGACCAGTAAGTCTGAAATAAAATACTATGTACCTCATATAGTGAGAATATTTTAAACTTTGCTTTCTGTATTACATTTACAGACCATAATGCACATTAATGTACACTCTATTAAGCATTATTAGCACACCACCTTATTATCCACATATAAGGCTCTCTTTTAAAAAGGAAATAAGATTTGTGAATTAACTCTCTTATTATATATCATTGTAATATAAAGAAATAAGAAGTCTGAAACCTGTCACTGAAATTATAGGCAGTTTCTTCATTAAATAAAAATCAAATATTGTGAAAATAATAATCTATCACATTCAAGTTAGGAAAATTAAAACTAATTCATGGCCTGATCCATCATCATTAAATCAATTACTGACTTAATAGTAGCAAGATAAAGGTTCATAGTAAGCGTCAATTATTAATCTATATGAGTGCCAATTAAAAGGCAGTCAATTTTTTAACTGCATCTTCCCATGTAAACTCTGTTGCAGATAGTCCTGTCAGCATAGTTGCTAAAAACCAAGTGGCAGAAGTGCAATTTGTAATCAGTACAAACAAAACCTACTATAATTCTCTTCATTATTTTTCACGTAAAGCATACTCTTCGTTATTTTTCAAATAGTCTCAAACAATTGCATTACAAAAAAACCTCATTAAGTCAATAAAACTCCTCTTCTTCGCTTCAAGACCGTAAATTAGGAAAGAATCATTGCATTTCAAATAAGGTGACTTTAATGATCTTTTTTTTCTAGTGGTAAAACTAATAGGAAACTCAAGATACATGATGGATTAACACAATCTTCTTTTCACCTCATAAATGTGATTATCAGCCTCTAGAACACGCCATGCCCTGTAAATACTTATTTGCATCTTCAGTGATAACACATTTTCCTTTACAAGGATACATTTGAAAGCAATTGCTTATGATGCAGCATTCTCAAGGCCTGAATCAGCAAAACAACATGCTTGACTAGAGCAGAAGCCTGAGCAATACTGTGGAAATCACACACAAAAATAAAATAAAAAAATAAGACTACCTCAGTGGGATTATATTTTTCTGAAAATAGTATTATAAATATCATTGTATAGGATATAACACAAAAAAATGCTTTATCACCAACCCAAATACTTGGTTAATATATGTATAATCAGCCTTCATACTGTCCTTTCAGAGCAGTGCATCTTGTTTCAACAGCTTAGGTCATTAAAACAAGCTTTGACCAACAGCATGTTAATGTGCCCATTTACAAGAAAATGCATTCACTTAAGACCCGGTCTTGCTCTCATTTGATTTTTTTCTAGATTTCAATAAGAGCAAGAGCAGGCTACTAAAATTTTAAGCTTTACAAACGGCTTCATGATTCAAGTGACAATAAAATAAAGGGATTCAGCCATTACAAATTGCCTTTGGTAATTCAGCCATATGGTTTTATCCTTTGAATCTTGAAAGCTGCACTGTAATCGAGTGACAAAATATAAAATAATGGGGACCAATGATTCCAAAGTGATTCTAAAGTGACTTTAAATCTCAGATCTTATGATATTTGACTTTTATATAGTATTAAGAAAACCACTTTAAAAATCTCTTTCCATAGAGTTTTATTTGATGTTTGAAGCATATCTTGGTTTAAAATTTAATCAGTAAAATCTGAGAATTTTCAGAACACACACCAACATTAATTTCTGTTGTCATCCCTGGACAATTTATAGTATGATATCATATAGGCAGATCATACTACACTATAATCAATGGTATAAAATGAACCATTTAGTTATCTTTTTGAAGCCAGTGAGACTCTGCCTGAAGGAAACAGCTCTGAATCCTGCTATAGGACTGAAATCTCAATCCCAAGAAAATTTTGACATCTGGTTTTACTGGGATAATTTGACCTCCTTAGTTTCATGTTACTTTGGCTACTGTGCAATATTTGCTGTCCCTGTTCCTGAAGGCTCTGCCAATTATGCATCAATGAAGATTATACCTGCCTATAATGAAAAAAAGCCACTAGGGTAAATACACATGGAATTTTACAAAAATGATGCCAACTACTCCATGGTCTTTCTAATTTACACCAAGTCAAGTCCCCCAACACAGTCACAGACTGCTACCGCGAAACACACTCCAAAATACCACTATTTATGAAGGAGTTTAAAGTTTAAAAAAAGAGTATTTGTAAAATGCTTTGCTTCAGGAGTTTTTTAGGGGGAGTTATTTGCTAAGTATAATTTTAGCAGTTATGAAACTGTTTGCTCTGCTTACAGTTTATAAATCTCAAGATATGCACTGCCCAAATGAATATAGTATGTAGTTTGTAGCATCTTGAAGATTTGCATTACAGTGCATTGTAGTTTTAAAAGTATAACAGTGTAATTTTTATGCAAGTAGCTACTGCAATAGTTTAAATGTTATTCATGAAGGAGCTGAAGTTGTGGCAGTACTCGTTACATAAATCACTTAACACATTTCATTAAATATTTACATTTATAAGGGCTGAATCAAAAAGGGTTGTTTTTATTTTTTAAAAACTATGCATGCTCCCTTTTTCTTTGTCCTCTTTAACGTATAACATTCCAGTACTTTTACGATCCATACTTCAAAACCTGTAGAGCATGCAGTTATTGCTAAAGACTATTAAAATATCCAGAAAAATCATTAGCAGAGTTAAAAAATGTATGTCGGGGTTGCCAATCCCGCCTGACCATGCTGTGATGTGAGTCCCATGACTCAGCAGAGAGCAGCTGTGCATGTTTCTACTGTCTTGCAATGGATAGGGAAGGTACATAGCTGAATAGCATGCAGGCCAGTCAAAATCCATTAAAAAGTGATTATATATATATATACATATATATGTATAACTTGCTTAGGTAACCTGTGTGAAAGTGGTGACACGTTGCTCTACCTGGTTAAAAAGCACCAGAGCTGCATTCTTGATTGCTCCAGCTTGGTTTTACCCCTGTGAGAAGTAAGAATGGTAGGTAGTGAAGTTCAAGACACAGGATCTCTAGTTTTCCTCTTTTTGGAATCTCTAATTCAAACATGGCTTTAGCACAATTAAAACATAGTTATTAAATATTTTATGATCAACTGGCAAAAAGGGAAATACATACAACCTGAAGTGTTCAACAAA